ACAAGCTACAACTAGTTAGCGATTCAGTAAACAAAGCATAGACATTGTTTCCTCTATTCTCTATTGGGAACAAGAATGCGTTGTCATATCCGTTTCGCGTGGCAAACAGTCTTGATGGGAAATGGGGCGCTAATCAATTCGACATTGTGATCATCAAAAATCACTATTACACTGAGTTTATTAGTAGTGAGATCATTACAATTCCCAAGCATCATATTGATGGTCTATCGGACGTATTGAGAATAAAAACACCTTAAATAAAGAAAGAGGCTCACGCAAACATTCTCATTATAAGCAAAAGCTTTGCAGGTGGGAAAGAATGGCTTAACTCCACGCCATAATTTGAATAAACAACTAGGAATACAGGTGTTCTTCTGTGAAACGTTTCATCATTACATTGATCTGTTGAATCTGTTTGTCTCTTTAAAATTTTAGAATTATTCTCCTGCAACAACTGATTTTCGGGCTCAGTTCAGCTCAAGACGAATAGGCGTCATATGATATACGTATTCATCGTACACTTAATAAGTAAATTCTGCTAGCCAGCGACTTGATTCAAGATTATTTCACATGGATCCTCGCTACAGTCATCTGCAGTACAATCTCTCGATAAAAAGAAACAGCGTTTTTGTTTAACAGTTCGACAACACGAGTTCGAGTATTCACTTTAGCCGTTACGATTTACTTACATCAAACTTACGAAAGTGAACAAAAATTTAGCTGTTCTAATATGCAGCTACCTGATCAATACAAGTATGGAGAAGCTGGTTTAATTGAAATGTTATTGATTTTATATTACAGCGAAATAGTGATTTAGAAACGTTTGAATCGATGAATATCTTGATAAAGAGCTTTAGAATAAAAAGTGATTCCTCATTAAAGACAACCGGATTTTCTTATGCTATTGAGTTGTGCACTTTCAAAAAATTTTGCAATAATCATTGCGGATATTCAAAATGTTTTTCTTATCCCAACGTAAGTTCATTTTTACAGTTTCGCGGCACGGAATCTGATGTTGCTGTCCTAACGGGATCTGTTGTTCAGCTGAAATTATCATGCGCTGGATTTGCCCCCGATGAGCATTGCCTTTCCTTCCGTGTCATCGGCATATCGGGTAGGTTTTGATGCTTTTCCAAGCTTCGCTGAAAAACTTTTCCTTTCTAGGCGCAAACCCTTATGTGCCAATGTCGTCAAACACTAGAGCAGAGTTACTGTTCATTCTAGTATTAGCCTTCCTCTTGGCCTTCACTATCATCGGCTCATTCGTTGTCTGGCATCTATGTTGGAGAATCAAGAAGCGGCAGTTAATTTCTGATATTCAGATGCAGTTCCTTTACCATTTACAACAACAGCAGGAGCTGCAGAAGGTGAGGTTGCAGCTTTTGCGTATTCTGGCGGATTTAATTCGAAGACATGTTTAGGTGGCTGCAGCACACGCTTCAGCGAACGAAATGGGACCATGTGAGTTTAAAACATCTTTGGATCGAGTTCCAAAGAGGCGATTGTATTTCAGCTCAGGTAAATATTTTGGAAAAAAGCAGCAAAATACGTCAAGTAATAATTCACAGTTTATAGAATATCTTGACGAGGCAATGATGGCCAATCCTCCTCCCGTTGCTGAACAGTTTCTCATTGATCTTCGCAGAGTTATAGAGGTTGCTCGAGAACGAATCAGAATGAGACGATTTGTCCCAATGCTTATCACAATCCCTGAGGACCATGAAGAGGTGAGGCAGATACTATTGTGGTACTTAACTTATCATGAAAGTAACCAACTTAAGAATCGAATTTCCGTGGTCCAGGAGAGTGAGCCTGAGCAAACCGCGCAACATGCGGCTAATCAGCAGCAAGAATCGCCAAAGAGTGACAAGTCCGTTGATAGTGGACGAGAGTCCCACTCATCGGAGTCGGATGACTCAAGCAAAGAGGACGATAAGGAGGTGCAGGAAAGCGAGAAGACTGAAGAGAAAGATGTTGAGCGAATGGGAAGTGTGCGAAACATTGTCAACGGTAAAACTTCAGCTTATCAATTGTATCGCTTTCATAATTGGAATTATTGAAGGCTTTGAATCCCGTACCGCGAAGGGCACACATTTGCCTAAGCCATCTAGAGTTCCTCCGCGAATAGCAGCCAAACCTCGTCTACCCAACTCTCAGA